CCACCCTAATTCCCTCCATATTCCATCAATAAGAAGTAAGTACCACTCAAATAGCTTCTTCCTGGGAACCACTGCTGTGTGGAACAGATTCCCAAGAGGATGTTTCCCCAATCACTACAATCTTAACCTACAATCTATAGTTACATGTTATCTTCCCCTACAATTGATATAAACTACCTCTTAATATAACCTCTACCTTAAGTGGCCCCCAGGCCTAGTACAGGGTGAACCTTACTGTAAAGATCAAAGCTTGCACTTCAGACAGTCATTCCATAATATCATAAAATCCAAACTTAAAAAAATTATCAGTGTCATAATCTTTTAGATCTTCAAAAATCTTCTGAGGTAAAAACAGTGTGTCACCATAGTTTATACATGACAATGTTAATAGTAGATTTCTTCTATATGATGTGTCTCTTCAGGATGTGGGCAATCATGGCACTCCATGATTTCTCATCCTTTTTATCTGTTTGCAATGTTTATTTTTTTTTTACTATCTCTCCATATCTGCGTTCAGCCATCCATTTACTCAAGTTTGTTAGGAAGGTTACTTGATGTTTCCTTCTATCCCACTGGCCATCATCAGGATCTGTTAAATCCATTTTAGATAACTTAGCATTGATCCTAATGTTTCCCCTCAGCATTCAACTTTGGAACTGTTAAAATCCTCGCAAATAAAAATGAAGTGATAACTGAACTCAATCAAGGGCTAACCAATATTGATCCTACTTATCCTCATAATACCCTCTTACTTTGTCTTCCCACTCACCTACAATGCTACTCAGTAATCTTCTACCTTGAGTGGCTCTTGGGTCTTGTACTGCATGAACTAACAGTTTAAAAATTACCATGTCATTATGCTATCTGCATCTCTATTCTGGGTAAAGAGGCATAAAAGCACTGGACAAGTCAATGGTTCACCAATATCTATCCTACTTATCCTCTTACTTCTCCTTTCCCTCTTCCTTACAATCTCATTCAGTAAACCTTTACCTTGAGTGACCCTTGGGCCTTGTGTGAACTATAAATAAAAAAGAAATAAGCTTGTGGCTAAAACAAACCATGTGATAGAAAATGATATGCAAATGTGCATTTCTGTGACAATTTCTTGGAAGTGGTGCAAAACAAAAGCAAATATTATGACTAATGATTTTGTGCAGAATATATCAAATATGGATAACAGAAAAACAGACAAAAATGTGGTTAATATCTATATGAATAATTAAAAAAATCTGGTTAATATCTATATGAATAATTAAAAAATGTGGTTAATATCTATATAATTAAAAATGTGGTTAATATGTATATGAATAATTAAAAAAATGTGGTTAATATCTGTTTGAATAATTAAAAAAAACAAATGCAATGTTTGGTTAGTGAATGAAACTCTTTGCTGCACATTCATTAACACAGAGCAGGGGTTGGCAACCTTTTGGAAAAAGCAGGCTAGACAGCTCTGCAGAGTCTTAGAGAAGAGCCATGATATCAAATGTACCATAATGAATTTTCTCAATCCCAGACAGAAGGTTTAAACAAAACACAACAAAGTTAATGTTATATTATTTAAACAAGGTTCCTTATTTTACTGCAGGAATAACAATGATAACAATTAATACAATCAACAAAAAATACAAATACCTCACTATAGCTAATTTGGCAGACTGGAAAAAAACATTCACAGGCCAGATGTAGCCTGAGAGCCAGATTTTGCCAACCCCTGATATGAAGCATAAATGTAACTCAGTTTCACTTATATCAAGAAAGTTGGTTGTGCATTGTTTCATTTTGAGTTCTCAGTTAGCTGGTCAGCAAAACAGCCATTTTAAATTGTACAGATTTCTTCAGGGAAGTATTCAGAGAAAAAAAACAAACTATATTCTCTATTCAAACATTAAACTAATTTCTCATTTTTCTGTTGATGACCAGGGATATCTTGCCTTGTTCTAGGATCAGTAAGAAAAGAGAAGCAGCGGCAAAGAAGATCAAGCATGAAAGCAGCAGGCAAGCAATAAGATCCTTAGTTTTCAAGTTACAAAACTAGGTTCAAGATTGTTTCATAGAATTATAGCCTCATGAATTAAAGCATTAATTCATGAACTTGATGGTATAATAATTTTAAGCTCAATCCCTAGGCTGAGTAGAATGGACTGAAAAAGCAAAAACAGGGTGAGCAACAATTGTGCAAGGTGAGCTATTGCTAGACATGGACAACAGAACAAGAAAAATCTACTCTCATAGATTAAAGGTTTCAGTTCAAAATTCCCTCAAGGTTACCCAGATCGACAGACCTAAAGATGGCCAGAGGTACAATGGACGAAACATGATAATAATAATAAAAGTTGAGGATGTTAGTCTGAATCTAAAAATGTAAATAACAACTCCTCATTCCAGAAATTCACATATGAATCTAATTATCTGTCAGATTAATTTTCTGTTGAGGAAAAAAGTTGACTATCAAAGAACTGCAGCTTTTCAAGACAGTGTGTAAAAATTCTACATTGCAAGCTGAATTCAAAAAGTATTTGACCTTTGGGCATGAAAATGTCAATTTTGTACATTTCACAAATTTTATTTAATGAACTTCAAAACACTCCCTTAGGGAGTTCAGACACTTTTCCCAGTGGTTGGGCCACTGCTGGTAACACCTCTAGAATACTTTTCTCTGTCATTACTTTTCTCAAACTTTGCTCTCATGACTCCAGTCACTTCCCTTTCAGTGTGGTTTTCCGATTGGGGAAGAGCCAGAAGTCACATGTTGCCAAATTGTGCAATTAGGGAGCTTGTCGAAAACAAGTAGTGTGTTGTTCTTGACCAAGAAAGCTCGGATTATGTGGGCTGAATGGGCGGATGGAATATGTGGGCAAATTTCATCAACACCCTCTTCATGCATAAATCCTCTGTTAAAATAGAATGCACTTTTTCCCACTTCATGAGAAATTTTCTGAATTGTTAAATGATAGTTTTCTATGACTATTCACCAAGCCTTCTCAACAGGCTCTTTTTCTCAGGCCTGCATGAGTGAGCTTGGCTCTCCATTGAAGTGTGGTCAAGTTTGAAGCAGTTATATTTAAGTTCTGCCTATGCATCATTGCCAAAGGTCAGCTGAATCTTCTGGATGGTTTGAGCTTGAGTATCACCAAGCTTTTGGCAAAACTTGATGCAATATCTCTGATGAAAGCATTCAGTAATCTTGCATGAAAACTAAATCGACAAGTGCATACTATATGTCTGTACTCTAGATATTACTAATGTGCCCTACTCACAAGAAAAATTTTCATGCATGCTCAAGAAGGGTGACTATTTTGCCTATGTGACATTAGTTTTGGTAGCGATGAAAGTCATGTACTTTTAGAATGCACCTCATATACAAGACACTAACTAAATGTTTAATAAATGTAAGATTAAATATCAAATTTTTTGGTACAATGAATAAATTTTCGCCATTGTATGTTTGCACATGCAAGTTGTTTGTTTTTGATTTTGTTGACTTCAGAGTATAATAGGGTCAGTTGGACACCTTCTATGACAAAAAGTGCCCAATGACAATTCACTCCACTAGAAATTTGGAAATGGCATGCTGTACTGTTTGGCATTCACACTGGAAGCTCCAATACAAACATTTCCGAGTGTTTGGGTGTCAATCTCATATCAGTGTAAAGGCTTAAGAAAGAGTTGGATGATGTATCCAGTCAACATCATGGTGTTTGGAGTGATCACTAGTGATGGTGATGTTATGCCTCCATTGATCTTCCCACAGGGCCTCAGACTCAACATGGAGGGCTACATCAAATGGCTTGGGGATGTAATGCAGTCCTGCGTCAAGAGTCTGGCAACATGACTCTGCAACATGCCGCACAAGCAGGAGAACCCAGTTATGGCTGTCAGACTGCAACCATATCACCCCCTTATATCTGGGCACATAACTCCCCATACTACAACCCCCTTGATTATTATGTGTGGGGCGCACTTGTGCCAGAGACCAACAAAATTTTGTAACTCCAAAGATGAACTGAAGGCAAGAATTATGGCAGCATTCACCAATTTAAACAAAGAAGATAATATTGCTGCAAATATTTTGCAGGAAGTCATCTGGAGGCCATGGTTGAAGCCAATGGTGATTTTATTGAATAAATTTACTCTTTAGTATTTCAAGATATTTTTGTGTAATTTTGATAAATATGTGTTATTTTCATTTTTGTGTAATTTAGATGACAATTTATCCATCGCACCTTGTATATATAGAATTTTTACATGCAGTCTTGAAAAATTGCAGTTCCTTGATAGCCATAAAATCCAAAATGAAAAATGTTATTAACATTTCGATTATATGACAAGATGATTCTGAAAAGCAATTCAAAGGAAAAAATGTTTTCTACAAGCTGCCAAATGTTATCAGAGGTGAAACATTGCAGTAAATTCTAAGGTCAAGTAATTAATAGTTTAGTTGGCATGAAGGTGAATAGATAAATATACAGAGTGTGGCAGAAATACATCCCACATTTTAAACTATCATCTGGTGAACTTAGGAAAGTAACAATAATCACTTCATTTAGCTCATGTCTTAACATTTATTTCAGATACCATCAATTACCATCATGGCTTGGAACGGTAAACATTGTGCATTTTAGATGGTTTTAAGATAGGTGAATCTGTAATTGTAAAACAGAGGGCTTTTTGCACTCATTTTATGTTAAATCAGATTGATGTTGTTCTGGATAGATACTGCTAGGGATTGAAAATTTTAGGGCCTGGGTTCAGTGCTTAAAAGAAAGCCATGTGAAAGACCTCAAAAAATGATGGAAAATTTTTAAAATCATCTACAACAGTGTATAATGAATAGAGGCCATCATTTAAAACCAAAAATTTGTCAACCTTTAAAATGTGGGAGGCATTTTTCTGTCATAACCTGTATAAGAAGGTGTAAGAAGAGACTATCGCAGCCATAGGTGGGGGTAATGCATTGCACCCATTGGTGGAATGGAATGACCAAAACATCTCACCCTCAACTTGACTGCAAAATTACATGACACCTTTCCATCTTCAGACTGTGAAAGATCAATGATTTGTTCATTATGAAGTACCTTTCCAACCACTTGTTCAGTGTCCATCTCCACAGGTTGGGAAACAATGTTGTCTGGATAGCTCCAATGACTAGGAATCACACGGTGTTTGCCATCGTAGACTGGAGCTGCAAAAAAATTAAAATATTATAACCAAATATTGTGACCATTCAGTATACCTTTTTATTTAAGACACAATTGTCAAAATAAATGATGCATCTTTCTAAAGTGCAAGCAAGTAAGCATTTAAACAACAAGCTGAATACCTGTCAGAGAAACAGAGAAAATTAAGTTGTCAAAAAAGTTCTCTTACCAGTCGGTTGTAACAACATTTTCAGTAGTACAATTATTTTCTAATAAAGTCATTATGAATTGAAAATAAGAGAAACATCTGAATAATTTTCTACAGTTTGTATTTATAATAATAAAAATTTATTCAGCAAAATTACTATTTTTCATTTGTTTTAATAATTTGTAGTACAGTTTTAAGAAAATCTCATTAAACAGATTATTTTGACTTATTTAAATAATTTTATAAAAGCTTTTCTGGATACACTCAAGTAATTTTTAGTAATATGAAATGGCAGATGACAACAATGGTCATTATGAACACTGCAAAAATAAGATCATAACTAATGTTACCAGGACTAAAAATTATAGAATACTATAAGAATTTTATTATTTTAAAAAATATTCATATCCATTCCTAAAAAAATCTAATTTTTAGAAGCAATTATTATTTTTTATGTTTTCTTTAAAGGTAAACATTCAATTACGACTGAATTTTGACAAGACAAATTGTTTCTATACAAACATGATGAATTTTAAAAAATGACTTGTATCAACAGAAACATTGTTTATACATATATGGTAATTTTAAAATTTTAAATTAAAAATAAATAACAAATTAAATATTTATTAAAATATGCTTATAAAAATTATTTTGCAAATTAAATGTTACTGCTTATGTTGTAAATGCAACATGTTAGAAAATCGTATTTCAGACTCATTCTCTTACTGATGACCATGCATTCTGTCTTCTTGTAGTTTATGCTTAGTCCTTTCTTCTCACTCTCCTTCACTACCTTCTGTAGGAGATTTTGGAATTTCTTTTCCATGTCTGCTATCAGTACTGGACTTAGTGAATGTAAAAATTGTCCTCCAACTGCAAAAAGCCTGATGCAAAATTAGAAAAAAAACAAAAACTAACCCTACTTCTTCCATGAATCATGTCTCTGGCAATCATGGCTCTCCACAACTTCCTGTCCTTTATAGTTATTAATAAATTTTGTCATTTTCTTATCTCTTCCTAAACCTTCTTCTGCCATCCATTTACTTAAACTCACTAAGTAAGTTATGCATTGCTTTCCTCTTTCCCTCTTGTCTTCACTATGCCTTGTCAGTATCAGATTTTCCAAGCTTTCTTTCCTCATTATGTGACCTAGAAATTTCTACTATCTCTTCTTGATGTTAAGTATAAGTGCTCTTTTTGTCTTGCATTTTCTGTAAAACTTCATTATTGCTTACATGTTTGGTCCATGGTATTCTAAGCATCCTTCTGTAGAACCACATTTCTGTTGCCTCAAGTCTTTTCTGCACCTGTGAGTGGAGTGTTCAGCATTCACTGTCATATAGGAAGACTGATATTGCACAACAGTTCAGTATTATTTTTATCATTTCTAATTTAATTTTCCTGTTTCTTAATACTTTGCTTAACTTTTGGAAGGTTTTTTTTTGTTATCATTGTACTTGCTTGATTTTGGTATCGCCATTTTGTAATTTTTATTTTGGTCTATTTATAAATTTGTAATGTTCATTTTGGTCTATTTTAAAAATAAAACACTTGTATGAATATAAGAAAAACATAAAAAACTTTCCAGGCTCATTTAACATAATGTGTATATATATATATATATATATATATATATATATATATATATATATATATATATATATATATTTAGTAGATTCTCATATGTGAGTAGATGCTTAAACTGTATATTTATTTATTTTTGTCAACAGGCTTGAATATCTGAGAAAATCTTATTAAAGAGAAAATGTGGCCTTTGGCAAATTTTTCTTCAATAAGATTTCACAAACATTCAGGGCAGTAGATGAAAATAAATAGATATACTGTTTAATAAATAAATAGGGCATCTACTCAAATATGAGTATACACTAAAAAAATAATATTTAAGGTTATAATACATGTGTGTGTGTGTGTGTGTGTGTATATATATATATATATATATATATATATATATATATATATATCAAATGAAAGCTACAACCCCAAAAAATGAACTTTCAAGGCTTACCACTATTCTCTCCTTCAGGTTTCTGGAGTTGCGATTTATCTAATAAAACTTTATTGGAATCGACAAGCACTCGATAATAACCTTCAAGAAGTGATAGGAAATCTGGGACATCATCATTTAAAAGGCCGACACACAAAGTCTGCAAAAAGCAAAAATAAGGCAAATGCATTAAAAAATGGTTACATTGTCATCAAAACAAATGAGTCATTGCTCTTTATAATATCCCAATAAGCATTTTGATTATTAATTAATAAAATATTGCAATCATATCAAAATTTGAGATTTAATGAATTTTAAAGTTTTCTTAAGAATGACGTCCTGAAGTTACAGAAGTCCTGATGTTACAGAATGCATATACTAGCACAAAATAGCAAATCTTATCATACACATCAGAACTTTGCCAACCAGAAGTGTGTGATTAATTTTAAAGTAATTTAATTATTGAGTATTTGTTTGCTTTCAAGATGTGAAAGAAATGAATTATAAAGATCCTCATGAAGTAAAGCCCCACAAAAATATTTAATTTTTTGTTCTTTACAGCACACAGAATAAATTGTATTAGGAGAAGCAGAATTTGTCTGCATAAAGAGAGTGTGACATTTTTTTGTTGTTTTATGAATGTGTATAATTTTCCAGCAGTCAGCAAATGGGAGCTGCATTATTGTTTTCATAAGTCCCTTTGTATGTTTCAAGTGTGCTTAATTTACTTTAAAATTCACAAAGCTATTATAAGAAAGTTAGTTGATAAAATATGTGAAATGTTGAGTAATTAATTATACAAAAGGTGTGAGAATTCAATTTTGCACAAAATAACAGCATCAGGTTAAAGGTTTACCAAAAAACTGAAAACTATGTTTGTGAATTTATGTGATTGTATTTATAACAGAATAAAGGCTCCAGGAAACTAAAAGTTAGATTTACTAAACTCAAAAGTTTATTGGTTAATAAATATTTTCCAATTTTTAAAAATTTATTTTTAGGAAAGAAAATATTGTTAATCATTTTCTGGAGCGATCTCTCAATTTTCATAGCAGACAGCAAACTGTTGTTTTTAAATATCTCATAATAGGATACAGATCTTTAATATACAGGGCCTCCCTTATAGTGAGATGTTTTCAGTAATGAGATTTATATAGAATTTTAGTGTTTTCAACCAGAACATTTCTTAAGGGTTCTTCTAAATTGTGGGTAAATAGATGTTTTTTTACAAAACTTTGATTTGATAAGTGGAATGTGTGGTGTCTACTCAAGAATGTGGCAGTATGTAATTAATTTGTGACAAGAAACACAGTCTTGTACTGTGCAGTGAAATTGATACACTATATTGGTTATCACTAGTTTAGTTATATATATATACGTATATATAAATGAAAAGGAAGAACAGTAAGATATATAATCCGGTGTTCTTATAGATATTTTTATTTTTACAAAATAGTGCTCAATGTAAATTTACAGAGCATTAATATTATAAATTAATTGATTTATTCATTTAAAATATGGTTTTAAATCAATTAATTTATAATAATGTTATATATATATATATATATATATATATATATATATACATTTATTAAAGACATTTTTATGTTTAACATTCTTTTTTATAGATACAAATATTTAAGTAAATGCTCTGTTTATAATAAACAGTATTAAATAACATTTACCGACCTGAATGTCCAAGAAATTTTCATAGAAAATATTCGTCCTTGGACAGGATTCGAACCTGCATCCTATACGGAACCGTCATTTACGCTGACGTGCCTTATAGATCGGCCACAAAGGAGCGTAAATAAGCAGTAAATTCGACCTTGCCTACCGAACGCTATAAATTGTCGGACTTTGTCCATTTCTTAATATATGACGTCATTTGTTTACATTTGATACGCCAGAGCAGTTATGAATGTACGAGATTCATGGAAGATTGAAGTTTATAAGCAGTAAATTTGACCTTGCCTACTGAACGCTCCTTTGTGGCCGAGTCGGTTAAGGCATGTCAGCATAAATGACAGTTCTGTATAGGATGCAGGTTCGAATCCTGTCAACGGACGAATATTTTCTATGAAAATTTCTCAAACATTCAGGCCGGTAAATATTATTTAATACTGTTTATTATGAACAGAGCATTTACTTAAATACTTGTATCTATAAAAAAGAACGTTAAACATAAAAATGTCTTTAATAAATAAATTGTCGGACTTTGTCCATTTCTTAATATATATATATATATATATATATATATATATATATAAGGAATACAAAGTAAGTGATTTTTTAATCTGACAATATTTCTCATTACAATAAATATTATATTTAATGGGTAAACATGTTGGAGAAGATGTTCCTTATTTTTAAACAGTGAAATTAATATCTACTGGCCTAGAGCTTGAAAGTCTTATTCAAGTAAAATGTGCCTCTCAGCTGGCCTGAAGGTGCTTTCTCAGATTAAAAAGGAAGTAGAGGTTAAATTCCTGTCAGGAGCAAAAAGAAAGATAAAAGAGGAGATAACAGAAAATGTGTGTGCATTCCACATTCCTTATTTGCATATTAAACTAAACAAAACAAAATCAACATCATCATCCTTTGACCTCCCTATGGTTGGTCAGATCTCCATTAACAATCCCTTTCCACACTGTTTGGGCCTGTATTCATGTCCCCAAATCTCCAATGTCCAACCCTGACTCCTGAACTATGGTGTCTGGGAAAGTCAATTTTTGTGAGGAGACACTTCCAAAAGGATGCCATAGGAGTAAGGATGAAATGATTTCACTGTCTGTTTGATGGCAGTAGCCAACAAACTGTAATCATTTTTCTTTGGGCTTAAGAGAGATTGGACTTCTGTAAATTATGTTAAGTGTTGCATGGGATCTCCAATGGATGTTATGGATTTTTCTAAGGAGATTTGTATATGTTCCATCCAGTCATCTTTCAAGATGAGCAGATAATGTCCAAATTTCAGGTCCATACCTTACAACTGCTTCAATCAATGTTCAAAAACAAAATACCTGACCTGGATGCAAGAAGTTTTGAGATTAAATCTGAAAGAACAATAAATATGAAGACTTTTATTTTAACGAAGCATAGAAACTTACTGTAGTCGTTTCTCCTTTCAATTCTACTGAAACCCATTGTATATTCTCTCCATCTCGTATGACACTCATCTTTTCAATGTGTTCAAAATCTGCTATTGGTTCCAGCTAAAAAAAACAAACAAAAACAAAACAATATGGATAATTGTTGAAACAATTATTTCTTGCTTTAATGTTTTTAAAATAGCAACAGAAATCAATCCTCTGTCTTTATCATAATCAATCAGAAAAAGGAAGGAAGCTGTTCAGGACCGTAATTGTCTAATTGATTTGAAAAGACATGGCAGTTTAAGAGGAGGACAAATTTTATTCTACCCCCAAATAAACTTTCTGCTCTATTATACTATCTTTTATAAATGTCCATTTGGCTAAATATAGTTTGTGTTCCCTCACCTTATGGAAGTCGAACAAAACAACCCAATCTATATGAGGATTCATCTGAGGTTACACCCAGTCATTGAATGCATAATCATGTAACCTCACAGCTGCATCCAGTTTTGCAAGCATGGGAAAGAACTGTAATTCATGTAGTTATATAAACAACCAACCTAGTCTAGAATTGGGCAGTCTTTCAGACATTGTAGATGAGAAGTTAAGGTCCATGTTTTAGATGAGAATGTTTTAGATGACAATCGTAGCTCTTCACAATCTCCTGTCCTTTGTAGCTTTCTAGGGCACATAATGCAGAAATAGGGCTTGGAAAATTTGATAACAAATATTCTTTAAAGACACTTCTAAGATTTTCCTAAAACTGTTGAAGGTATAATATGAAAAAAAAACAAACAAATAAAACAAGACTGTTGCCCAAAGAATAAGATTGAAGGTCATAAAAATAAATGTCAAATAAAAAGTATGTGTGTTGAAATCAAAATTACTTACAGCATATGTCTTGACATTGGTGATTCTGCTGATGCCAGTTCTTGGTCCAACAACAATCATATGTTCTGTCTTGTTGTTGTCACCCTCCTTTAAAAAGAAAAAAAAAACCCTTGGCATTAAAAAGAGAAGAGAAGTTTGCATATTTCACAATATTTACAACAAACTGAAATATAAATACACAAAACATTTTCAGTCATTATTGACACATATAACCTTTCATTCCTATTTTTTTTTGTCTACTTTTCATTGGGCTGAACACAATTGCTGATGTTATATTAGGGAAAGAAAAAATATTGGAATGAATACATTAGAGAAGACACAATACAGGAAAATATCAAAGGACCAGAAATATTAATGTCTGAAGTGGAATCAGAACTGGCCAAAATGAAGAGAAACAAAGCAACAGAACCAGAAAGAATCGTATTAGAGATGCTGGCAGTTTTAGATGATTTTGGCATAGACAAGTTTGCAGACTTAATAATTGTGTTATAAAATAAAATAAGAAGACATATCTCGGCTGATTTACAGGCAAATACTCAAGAGCGAGAACCGGATGTGAACGGGACAAAGCCCCGTCACAAAATAACCATTATCTTTCTTCACAAATGTTTCCGACACACGTGTTCCAGTCGAAAAATAACATAATATTTAAAGTGCTCTATTTTTCGTCCAATAAAAATGCTTCCCTCCTAATTATACTCGCTTCGTTTCTCGAGCCTGTTAAGCCATAAAAAAACGCTATAAAAGGGGTCACAGGGAAGTTCAACATTCAGTCAACAGGTGGCCACAAAGGAGACCGGTCACATTGAGCAGCTGTCAGCAGGAGAGCGCCAACCACCATCAACATGTGTGAACTACTATGAGAGATCGACCAGATTCGAAAACCGGCTTATGAACTTTACCACAAGGTAGCTGTCCCAAACCCTCACGTTCCTGTTGAAATAAACCACGTAAATCTATTTCTGCTGTTGTCGTATTTCTTTCTTGCAACCATACGCTTGTCTATAACAATTGCAATCTATAACAGTGGTGATATACAAGAAGTTGATCCATTTTCATAGCACTGCCTAAGAAATCAGCAGCAAACGAATGTGAATTCCATTGGACAATCAGCCTAATGAGCCATATAACAAAACTTTACATCCAAATTCTAATGAATAGAGTGTACAGCAGAATTAGACTGAAAATAAGACAAGGACAATACAGGTTTGTTAAAGACACCGAAACAACAAATGCAATATTTATACTTGAAATTTTTATTAGTTCAGGTTGTGTCCAAAATGATTTATTTTTTGACTTGTATACCTTTCATCTTAATCTTACTCGCCGTATTTACACTAGTAGTATTAGTAGTAGTAATATTACCTAAAATTGTTATTAGTGTCCAGAATGATATCTTTTTGACTTGTATTCTTTTCATGTTCATTTCATTTTTTTTTTTCAATCAATTCACCCCAAGCAAGACAATATTGCCACTAAGACGCCAGGGGCTACAGGAAGTGAAAGAGAAGGAAAATACTTTAGAAAGAACCAGAAACCCAATACTAAAAAAACAAGGGATAAACCTCTGACGTAGATGTTTATCCCATCTTTCTGAAAGACTAGGGAGGAGTGTGAACTGGATGACAGGGAAACCTTTCTACTCCTATTATTTGTTTTAGTTCCACTAGTAGTATTAATAGTAGTAATATTACCTAGAAATTTTATTAGTTGGATCTGTGTCAAGAAATATTCATTTTTGATTTGCTTTCATTCCTAACTACTCAGGCTGTCAGTCAAAGAAATGAGAGAAAGATTACATTTACAGGAACTAAAACATCAGCTCACAGTAACTCTTGAACTCCACTCATTTATTCCTTATTTATGATTGATATAGTTTATTAAGAGTGACAGACTGACAGTTCGAGTAAGTGGGATAGATGGGACATAAGACAAAACTTTTTAATGATTTACTATTCATTTTTGACTAGTCATAATAAGATGTAATAGTTTTAAGTTGCCTGAATTTCTTAGATCAAGCATTGTCAATTATTATTCATTTTTGACTAGTGTTTCTTTCATCTTATTTCTCTTGCTTATTTATACCAAGTACTAATAAGATCTAATAGTCTTAAGTTGTCTGAATTTCTTAAATCAAGCATTGTCAATTATTATTCATTTTTGAGTCATATTTCTTTCATCTTATTTCTCTTGCTTATTTATACCAAGTAGGAATAAAATATAATAGTTTTAATTTGCCTGAATGTCTTAGATCAAGTATTGTCAATTATTATTCATTTTGTACTAGTATTTCTTAATATTCTTTCTCCTTTGTTAACCACAGGGATTGTTATGATGATCAAACTTGGTAGCCATAGATGTTCTACATACACTGACTCCAAGTTGCCCATGAGCTATAGTTATAGCTCTCTTTATGCTAATTATCTATTAGCTAAACTAATCCCATAACAGGATTCAAATCATAAGTTTTCATGTAACAATCCTTTGTTCTACTAAAGTTTCTTCTTGCCTGTTTTTCTTTTGTTATTTCAGTTTTGAAAACATGAGACTGTAAAATTATTAGCACATACGCAAAGTTCTTTGATAATGTAGAAAAACATTCTTCTCTTTCTGCAAAATCATTCTTAACAATTCTTCAGTCATTTCTAGATCATCCTCCACAATTGAGTGGCTTGATGTGAGGGAGTAGCATGATGTGCCAGAGGGCTATGCTAGCAGGTTTAGCCTTGCCAGACAGGTCAATGATAATTCCAGATAATATTACTACTACTAAAACAATAGTGTAAATAAAGCAAGTAAAATTACAATGGGATATAAAACTCAAAAGTAAATAATGCTTAATAATGTTTATCCAATAAAAATTCAAGATAAAACTACTAATAAAACTACTTGCGTAAATAAAACAAGTAAAATTACAATGGGATATAAAACTCAAAAAGTAAATAATGCTTAATAATGCTTTATCAATAAAAATTCAAGATAAAACTACTAATAAAACTACTTCAAGTAAAATTACAATGGATATAAAACTCTAAATAATGCTTAATAATGCTTTATCCAATAAAAATTCAAGATAAAACTACTAATAAAACTACTTGCGTAAATAAAACAAGTAAAATTACAATGGGATATAAAACTCAAAAGTAAATAATGCTTAATAATGCTTTATCCAATAAAAATTCAAGATAAAACTACTAATAAAACTACTTGCGTAAATAAAACAAGTAAAATTACAATGGGATATAAAACTCAAAAGTAAATAATGCTTAATAATGCTTTATCCAATAAAAATTCAAGATAAAACTAAATAAAACTACTTTTAAAATTAAATAATGGGATATAAAACTCAAAAAGTAAATAATGCTTAATAATGCTTTATCAATAAAAATTCAAGATAAAACTACTAATAAAACTACTTGCGTAAATAAAACAAGTAAAATTACAATGGGATATAAAACTCAAAAGTAAATAATGCTTAATAATGTTTATCAATAAAAAATTCAAGATAAAACTACTAATAAAACTACTTTAACGTAAATAAAACAAGTAAAATTACAATGGGATATAAAACTCAAAAGTAAATAATGCTTAATAATGCTTTATCCAATAAAAATTCAAGATAAAACTACTAATAAAACTACTTGCGTAAATAAAACAAGTAAAATTACAATGGGATATAAAACTCAAAAGTAAATAATGCTTAATAATGCTTTATCCAATAAAAATTCAAGATAAAACTACTAATAAAACTACTTGCGTAAATAAAACAAGTAAAATTACAATGGGATATAAAACTCAAAAAGTAAATAATGCTTAATAATATCCAATAAAATTCAAGATAAAACTACTAATAAAACTACTTGCGTAAATAAAACAAAAAATTACAATGGGATATAAAACTCAAAAGTAAATAATGCTTAATAATGCTTTATCCAATAAAAATTCAAGATAAAACTACTAATAAAACTACTTATGTAAATAAAACAAGTAAAATTACAATGGGATATAAAACTCAAAAAATAAATAATGCTTAATAATGCTTTATCCAATAAAAATTCAAGATAAAACTACTAATAAAACTACTTGCGTAAATAAAACAAAGTAAAATTACAATGGATATAAAACTCAAAAATGTAAATAATGCTTAATAATGCTTTTATCCAATAAAAATTCAAGATAAAACTACTAATAAAACTACTTGTAAATAAAACAAGTAAAATTAAATGGGATATAAAACTCAAAAAAGTAAATAATGCTATAATGCTTTATCCAATAAAAATTCAAGATAAAACTACTAATAAAACTACTTAATGTAAATAAAACAAGTAAAATTACAATGGGATATAAAACTCAAAAGTAAATAATGCTTAATAATGAATAAAAATTCAAGATAAAATCTATTAATAAAACTACTTGCGTAAATAAAACAAGTAAAATTACAATGGGATATAAAACTCAAAAGTAAATAATGCTTAATAATGCTTTATCCAATAAAAATTCAAGATAAAACTACTAATAAAACTACTTATGTAAATAAAACAAGTAAAATTACAATGGGATAAAAACTCAAAAGTAAATAATGCTTAATAATGCTTTATCCAATAAAAATTCAAGATAAAACTACTAATAAAACTACTTGAAATAAAACAAGTAAAATTACAATGGGATATAAAACTAAAAAGTAAATAATGCTTAATAATGCTTTATCCAATAAAAATTCAAGATAAACTACTAATAAAACTACTTGCGTAAATAAAAATTAAAATTACAATGGATATAAAACTCAAAAGTAAATAATGCTTAATAATGCTTTATCCAATAAAAATTCAAGATAAAACTACTAATAAAACTACTTGCGTAAATAAAACAAGTAAATTACAATGGGATATAAAACTCAAAAGTAAATAATGCTTAAATGCTTTTAAATAAAAATTCAAGATAAACTACTAATAAAACTACTTGCGTAAATAAAACAAGTAAAATTACAATGGGATATAAAACTCAAAAAGTAAATAATGCTTAATAATGCTTTATCCAATAAAATTCAAGATAAAACTACTAATAAAAACTTGCAAAATAAAACAAGT